TTCCCCTGTGGGAGCACACTGACCACCAGGGGGCAGCTCCTGCATTGAGCGTCTGCCCCCTGGTGGTCAGTGTGTGTCATAGTGACCAGTCATTCCCAGTCTTTCTACTGTTAGGGTCAATTTGCTTATTACCCTTTTATTATATAGGATAGAGGCCTGGTGCATGGGAGGGGGCTGGCTGGTTTGCTCTGAAGGGTGTCCTAAATTAGGATGGCGGTCCTGGTGGGGTGCCTGGCCAGCCTGGGTGAGGGGCTGATGGCTGTTTGCAGGCTGTTCAAGCCCCTCAGTGGGGACCCTCACCCCATGGATGTGTGGCCAGCCTGAGTGAGGGGCTGAGGGCTGTGTTCAGGCTGCCCACAGCCCCTTCAGGGTGGGGGTTCCCGTTGGGGTGCCTGGCCAGCCTGGGTGAGGAGCTGATGGCTTTTTTCAGGTTGGCCACGCCCCCCGGTGACCCAAACTCCCAGCCTCTCCTTTTTTTATTTTCTCTCGGATTTATTTATCTTCTATAATTGAAACTTTGTAGCCTTGAGCAGAGCCCAGGGCCAGCCAGGGCAGGTGGGAAGCTTGGCTTCCTCCATCGCCAGGGGCAACCCAAGCCTCTTGGCTCGTTCCAGCTCCGTGGCCACCGTCATATTAGTTGGGTTAATTTGCATACTCACTCCTGATTGGCTGGTGGGTATGGCTTGAGCATAACAGGACAGTTAATTTGCATGTTTCTCTTTTATTATATAGGATATCTATATCCTATGCATATGTGTATAACTGCATATTAAAGTTAGTAAGAAAGCCCGTGCCAGTTTGGCTCAGTGGATATAGTGTCAGCCTGCCAACTGGAGGGTCCCGGGTTCAATTCAGGTCAAGGGCATGTACCTTGGTTGCAGCCTTGATCCCCAGCCCTGGTCGGGGAGCATACGGGAGGCAACCAATCAATGTGTCTCTCTCACATAGATGTTTCCCTGTCTCTCCTTCTATTTCTCCTCCTCCCTCCCACTCTCTCTAAAAATCAATGGAAAAATATCCTTGGGTGAGGATTTACAAAAAAAAATTAGTGAGAAAATATTCTCTAAAAAACGGATAGGCCTGAAAAGGTAAGTATGAAAGATTTCATATCAAGACAAGGTTTTATGTCCACACTATAATTTTAATATTCTCTTTAGAGATGCCCAAAGACCCTTCTGCCAAATAGAAAAGAAAGTCAAGAATACATAGTGTCCTTTATTTGCCACTGAGGTAAACAGCTCCCGGCCTAGGAGTTCCTACTTTTACTCCTTCTTACTTCCCAGTCATGCAGTTGGAGAGGATGTTAGTTCTAAATCTAGTGTGAACAAGTGGGCTAAGGAGTTTGAATTTAACTACCATAATTGAGGAATATTTGCAGAGCTTGTGCTACAAGCTGGGCAGGGAACTATGTGCTGAGATCACCTAGACGTGCAGAGAGCTCACAGGCACTTAGGGACAGTCAAGCAGGAAACTACAGGGTCACCAGCACTGTAGGAAGAGTGGCCCTCAATGCAGTGGGGCTGGAGTAGATGGCAAAGGCCCACGGCCGGCAAGAAGATGGTACATTCCGAGAACAACAGAGCTCATACGCCTGGGTAAGTGAACAGAAGAGCAGAGTTGAAGAGAAACATGTTCCAGTGAGAAGTTAGCCAGAAAGGTACAGTATCTACCCTGACCAAAGTATTATGGTAGGTGCTGTGGACATGAAGGGAAGACCCAGCTGCTGCAGCCTGTAGCCCAGTCTCAGAATGATGACTCTTACCAACCCTCTTTGATGACACTAGTGTAATTTCACTTTACATGACTACGAGACTAACTCGCTAATAACCTTGGCCGCCCAGTTTACCAAGCCCTAATGGAAGAAAAACAAGTTTTAAACTTGTAGCAACAGAGAGGCTTAGAAACAGATTATAGTTTAAAATATCTATTTAATATTTTATTAAATAAAATAGATTTATTTATTTAAAGGTGTGTTTTTTCAAAAACAAACAAACATGTTGGGCCCAGGCTGATGGCTCAGTTGGTTGAGCATTGTCCTGTACACCAAAAGGTCGGTACGATTCCTGGTCAGGGCATATACCCAGGTTGAGATGCTTATGGGAGGTAACTGATTGATGTTTCTCTCCCTCTCCCTTCCTCTCTAAAATCAATAAACATATATATTTTTTTAATTACCTACAAGGATCTTCCATATGTTTTTGATTCTCAGAATCACCCTGGGAGATAGGCAGGTTTTAGTTATTCATTCTAATGACGTATTTTCTCCATAAATATAAAATACTGCCAAGAAAAGTTTGCTTTTAGACCCTAGTTTTTAAAAAGCTGTTTTTCTGGTAACTTTAGTTTCAGAAATTGCATTAAACATTTCTTATTTCCATAAGTCCATCCTTTACAAAGAAGATAAGAAATTTCTGAAGTCCACCTTTGAATTCTTTTTGGATTCACTCTGGCTAAGTAACATTTTTAGTTGAGAGAAGTGTTTCTTTGTTTTGTTCACATTTTTTGAGGAGCAAGTGGGTGTTGAGTGTCCAGATGTAGGTGTTCTGAAAAGAAACATAAAACTACACTTAGGAATACTGACAAAGGACAATTTAAAAAGTGTTCTTCCTGCTTAGCCTAAATGACTGCTATCAGACACGTTTTCCACTCTTCTGTATTATGGCCATATATGAGCAGTGGCTGTACCCAGCAGTCACTCCCAAAAACCTCCTCACTAAGTAGGCTACAAGCAACATTTAGTTGGTATATTGGGTGGTTCTGGAAGCTTCTATCAAACCTGAAAGAGAAGGCTACAGGTAAAGTGTCATCAGGTTTGAGTTCTCTTTAAGTCTGACATCAAGACTCATGACAAAGCTAAGCAATGACTTTGAAGGATCTCAACCTAGACATGTAGGTACCATTCCGTTGTATCTTCCCCAGAATGGAAGCTCCACGGGGCAGGCACTCTGTACTAATTGTATAGTTCAGTGCTTTCTAACAGTGCCAGGCACAGAGGAGGCCCTCTATATATATTCACTCCATAAATGATTCCCCATCTGGTATGTGTATATTTACGCCTCATTCTATTTTATTCTTTCCAATTGTGTTTCATCCTGAACCTTTATTTGGGGTTTGTCAGCCTGACCCCTCTTCTGCCTCCCCATCTATAAGATAAATGTGAAATATTTTTCTCAGTCCTGCATGTCTTAGAAGCAGTCTGGTCTAAATGCAAGTGAATTCTTTTAAACACACCAAATTTTCTTTTATCTACTTTTATCCAATAAAGTGGAAACTTCCATGATGAATTCCTATCATACCAAATAACAAAACAATTAAGAATATAGAGAAAACTGGCCTTGAAATTTAATTCTTATCCAATAAATCCAACATTAAAAAAACTCAATTCAGAAAGCAGAGAATCCAGTCCTTCCTGAATTTTGTTAAAACGTGCCCAGTCATAGTTAACTCAGTATCATTTGACAAATCCCTATTTAGTTACATCTCCATAGGAATTTATTAGAGGAACTAACAAGAACAAAGATTTAGAGCAGGAAAGTAAATGGTGAGTTGTTCAGTTTTGCTGACACACAGGATACATTAGGCAAAGTAACACAGGCAGACAGATTGGTGCCAGGCAGTGAGGGCTGGAGAGCCTACTGCATGCCCCAAATGGTGCTTCTAATCAGAACTGTGATTCTGGAGATCAGACAGGAAGATTCATCAAAAGGGGAATAAAGACCTGAAGAGAGAGCAGCAGTAGGGATGTAAACACCATGAAAGTAGGACAATAGAAACTGGCAGCTGACTGGACAAGGACCAAGGCAGTGGTTGTCAACTGAACTTGCCATTTCAGATCAGAATGTCTAGAAGGGCATGTTTATTCACAGAATAAGGAACTTAAGGAAGATGGGCAGGTTTGAGTAGTCAGCCGTGGGGACCTGTAGGGGGTGAAGTGGATATATTTAGCATGCAGCTGGGAACAGGGAGAGGTTGCAAGTAGAGGAATTTGCCTGGAAGTCATGCAGAGGTGACAATGAAAGCTATAGGAGAATATGAGACTAGAGAAGATAAGGGTATGAAGGAAAAAAGAGGGCCAAGGCAAGTTTGGGCACTGTACATAAGAGGAAATTGGAAGAAATACTCAGGAGTTAACACTGGCAATTCACATAACTTAATGAATTAATTACCTGAAAGTCAACGCTGGGCTCTTGCCTTTGGAACCAGACACCCTGTGATTTAGGTTTGCAGAACCTAGAGACTTTCTCTCTGGGGTCTTCAGGCCGAGTTTCCTCGCAGGAGTGGCAGGATTGCTCCTCAGTGCTGACAGAAAGCTTCTGCTCTTTCCAAGATGTTTCACTGTTTTGTTGCATGTTTTACAAGTAATCAACTACCATAAAAAGAAGACATATATGGCGTGATTTCTCTTAAAATTTAGTCCAATAAAGTACATGTTCCTTAAATTCTTATATGCAAGGGAGCAGACCAGGTACTACAGGGTGAGTAACAGAGGCTGACCTCAGGGAGCTTGTAATCTTGTCTTGAAGCAGGGAAAAGACCAAACACAAATTTAAAATGAGAAAATCTCCAATAAAAAAATGAATGGCTAAACTTGTGTATTTAATTTAAAACACCTTTTAAAGATAATAAAGTCTCTACTTTCTCAATGTAAAACCATGTGTGGGGGTTATGGAGGAGACTGGGAATAATACCCCTTAACACCTGGATGGTTCAATGTACCTTCTGATACTCGTCTCTATTAATAAACCACAATTAATTTGATTTTGGTTGTTTTATCCATTTTATATCCCCAATACTTAGCATTATATGGCATAAGATAGACCCTCAAAGGTTTAATGAATGAACATAAGATGTACTTACTTTTGTTGGGCATAAACGTAAATACATGGAAGAGAGGATGACTGAAAAAGTGACAAATGCCTAACAAATAAGCTACTGTTGTTTGAAGAAAAGGACCATTAACTGAAAAAATAATTTAGTGGTAGCTGCAGTTCAGGTGAAGTCACATTGGTCTGCTCAAGAAATCCTCCAATTTGTAAAAATAATTGTGCTCAACAATGAGATCTGAGAACAATTTGACAGCTCGTGATATGTGATTTTAAGTAATTGTAAAAAGCAAAAATAAGCTGTACACTTGCTGAAACAGTAATCACTAGGAAAAAAAATGTATATATTTTGCCAATCTCAATATACTACTACAAATCTCTGAGTTATGTTCAGGCTGATTCTCTTCATTTTGAGTGAATGTCTGGAAACTAAAATCTTACCAGTACACTTTTGGAGTCTTTGTACTTTTTCACAATTTTTGCTTCTTTAAAACTGAGTGTACAATTTCTTGCTTCTCGATTAAGAAGTTTCTGTATTCTTGGTGTCAGTTTGGACTTGGGTTTGAGGCGTACTCGAGAATTATCCAGAATCAGCAACTGGAAACAGTATGGGCATGTTTCTTCAAAAGTGCTTTTAGCATCTAAAATTATACAAATGAAACTCATGATTCAATAAATTAGAATACTTTTTTTTTTTTTTTTACTTCAAACTGCCAATTTTTTAAATGTAAAAAGGTAAGGTATATTATTATTTAATATAGGCAGATATACATTATCCTTAAGCAAACTCAAACTATGAGAATTTATTAAAAGACAAACTGGCGATGATTTATTTTGCAAAACACTATCACTGTATCCATTCATTCCTTTTAGCAACAGACAGGTAATTCCCCATTCTCTTGCTCCTTACTTGTACTGAGTATAAAAGGCTGCATGTCTCACCTATTTTTCAAACACATTGATCACAAAATATAAGTTTACTATGGCTTTGTTTCTTTTTAAAATAATTTTGTGGCTTGTGGGTTGGGCTTTGTCTGCAGGTAGCTCTTTCAGTATAAAGTAACAGACAACAGACTTGCCCAGACCCTTTATGCAATCAAGAAAGCATTCCCTGACCAGGCTAGGATGTGGAGACACAAATATGGGAGTGAAAGAGTTGCTCTCTTTAAAGAACTCACGTCTGGGAGCCCTAAACAAATAAAGGTAAGACTGGTAAGAACTGTAACAGAATATGATGTAAATGCCCTGGAAATAATTAAGCTGCATGGACCAGCCAACCACACTATAAAGAGAAGACTTGTCAAAGTATGTCATAGATGACTATACATTCTATCTACATTTGGAGATGGCACCCATGAAAGGTAAGGAGCTTTCCGGGAGAAGTACAGTGGCTGGGCCCGGCCTTAGATAGCTGTGGTGAGAGGCGGCTAGAGGACGGATATATTGCAAAACAAGGGCATGTTGGTTCGGAAAGAGAGTCAAGAATGACTGATTACAAAGAGGAGTTATTTGCTGCAATGGGAAGACCTGTGTTGGGGGATAAAGCTTGGGTTTTGCCTTCAGAGACATTCCAAAGTTGCAAGAAGGCATCAGGCTGTGTCTAGAGCCTGGGGGAGAGGTCCGGGTTGGGGGTATAAATTTGTAAGTGATCAGGATACAGCATTTAAATGCCATGAGACTGGATGACAAACTGTCACCCAGGAGGTGAGTGCAGCTAGACCAGAGGTCCCAGGGCAGAGTCCTGGACGCTCCAACATTGTAGAGACTGGGGAAGCCAGGAGGGACCTTACAGCAGCTCGAGACGGACTGGCTAAAGAGGTAGGAGAGCTGTGAAGTCAAGTGAGGAAACTGTTTCGAGAGACTGGTCAAGGTGTCCAATCCCGCTAATAGGTCAGGCCAGGCCAGGCCCATGGACCCGGGAAGGGGCGCGCGGCAGTGGGGGGATCAGGTTTCTCTCCTCGCTCATTCTGAGTGCTACGCGGGACGCAGGGGCGCGGACGAGGCGAGCCTGACCCGCAACCCACGGGCGTTCTCCCTACCGTGTGACGAACTGAAGGCCCAGCTGCAAAAGAGAAAGAGGCCGTGAGGAACGCGGGCACACCACCCCGCCGCGCTCCCGCTCCCCGCTCCCCGCGTCCCGGCCTTACAGGAGA